TTCAAGGCGTCGTTTTCTTATCATCCAGAAAATGTAAAAGGACTGTTGCCAATGTACTAGTACAAAGAGGATGGAATATTTGCGTCACGGAAGGTAATTTTCCCAAAGAACTAAATCACATCCGATCGACCGACTTTGCGAAACAACCGTGAATGTGTGAAGCCACTAAATGAGGGGCTACCTACTGATCTAGGCAACCCATTTTTTGCTGCTCACCTAGCGGTAAGATCTACCTCACCTTGGCATGAGTTCACAAAGTGAGCGAAAGGCTACGACGTACTACGTCTAAAGTTAGTCTGGATACTGCATTCAAACGCGGAACAACACGTTGCACTTGCTTCAGTTGCTAAAGATTAAGAGAGCGGAAGAGCAGAAGCAAAGTTGGGTGTACAACCCTCCCCCCCACCGTTCTCATATGGCTCAGTTTGCATTTGCGAAACGGCCAACGCCGTTGAGGGAAAGAAGACCGAGCGCAAGCGAAGTCTCGTCAGACCGTGCAACGCTGATGCATGGAGAAAAAGATTTTTCAAGCACGTTGAGAGAGGACAGAGACAAACAAAGGGTCCTAAGGTTATCAGAGCGGAATGCTGAAAAACTGCGCTATGCTGAGACATGCCGCAATCCACCAGCACATCATATCTTGGGAGAAGATGAAAGGTGTCGTCGGGTAAAGCATCTTACCCGTTAAGTCAAGAAAGCGCTACTGATGGGTGCAACCAGCTGTGAAAATCGCAGCTTTGGCGCCGATGTCAGCGACACATGAACCGAATGTATCAAACCGTCGCTTCGGACCAACGAGAGGTTCGACGCCCCTATCAGTCATACGGCTCAGCTCGACCCACACGAAAATGACGATGACACCGAGTAAAACTCATTGCAACTCTGAAGATGGGCCGAGTTAGGTGCCAAGCGTGAGTGTGTTTTATAGAATGTCTGCATTCAAAAATTTAATGCGTTGTTTTAACGGTTTCTCCAGTAATTGCAAATATAGATAAATATAAATAAATCATAGAGGAATTTGATAAAACTGTCCTCGCTACCTCATGAGCAAAACCTTGAGTGTGGCTACGCTATGCAGGCGATACTTTCGATTCTCGTGTTAGGCCAGAAGCGTAGCATCGCCATGCTTCTGAGCCACCTTAGTAACATAACACCGATATTAAGGTTCACAATGAAAGCAGAGTGAAACGACATAATCCGTTCCTTGACTGCCGTGTAAGCCGCCTACCTAATGGTTTGCTTGAAACGTCCTTGTATCGAAGATCAACTCAAACCTACAAGTACCTGAAATTCAAGTTCAACCTGTCGCTGGCAACAAAAGCCTGAGTGGCAAAATGCTTTTTGGGCAGCACTAGAAATTT